ATGTAATTTATATTTATTTGTTATTATACAAATTAAGTTCTTCATAAAATACTATATAATTACTTATATAAATTACTCAATAAAGATATGAGCAAGGCCTCACCTTAAAATTTAAAAAAAAATAAGCTAACCCTTTATAAAAACAATTCCTGATATATAATTTTCATTAGATATAAAATTCTTGGCAGGGTGAAATCATTAGACTTATTTTTCTGACAGAGCAAAAGGAAAAGTTGTGACAAAATTCTTGTTAGACTTTTCTAATAATTATACTATTTAATGAGCTAGAGCTTGTAGAAGCTATTCTTGTCTATAAGTAATTTTGTTAGATTAAACAAGTTACGTGATACTTGATATGCTAATTAATATTTAAATCTCTCTAGAAGTAATTCTTAAATAGTTAAAGTTATTCATAAATAAATCTAATGAATCTAAAATCGTTAATAAATATAACTAAAAAAATCAATATAATTTCAAGGCTTTTGAGCCCTCCAGAATGTATTCCTGATATGTTTATAAATTGTTAGATTTATTTATGAGATAATAAGAACAGTTAGACTTAAATAAATCTAACTAAAAATCAATATAGTTCCTAGCCTTTGGAAGCCTCTGGAATATATTCCTAATATTTTAATAAATCCAACCAAAAATCGATATAATTATTAGCTTTTTGAAGCTCTCAGAATATATTCCTGATATATTTATAAATCATTGGACTTAAAAAATCTAACTAAAAATCAATATAGTTCCTGGCCTTTAGAAGACACCAGAATGCATTTCTAATATGTTTTAAATCTAACAAAAATTCGATATAGTTTCTGGTATTTAGAAACCTCCAAAATACGTTTTTGATATATACTAAGTCTAACTGCTCTAAAACCCCCCAGAATGCCATTGTATTAATTACTGTTTACTAAATTGCCCAGATACTAATTATAACTTTTTAGATATTCACTTCCAGGTTTTTACTTTTATATACTTATATAATAAAATCACACTTTTAATATTTAGTACTTTGAAACTGGTTTAGATTCTCTGTTATTTATATTTTTTATGACTTGTTATTATTCAGTGTTTTGGCTAACCAAAACCTTTAAAACTTTTAAAATTTTGTTTTGTCAAAAGACCCAAATCTGAAGCTTCTGAAACCTCTAAAGTTTCTGAAATCTCCAAAATTGCTAAAACTTCTAAAACTAGTAAAGACTTTATAACATCCAAAACAGAAGAAGCTAATAGCAATAAAATTACAAAAATTACTATAACACATTAAAAACTGAGTATAAATTATATCGAAACTAGATAAAACTTCTGAAACTAAAACTAGTAAAACTTCTGAAACTTGGCAAACTTCCAAAATTGGGTAAAACTTCTAAAACTAGGGTGAAACCTCTGAAATTGGATGAAATATCTAAAATTTTCTAAGTAGAAATTCACTGAATATAAAATATAAACAAGGTTAAGAGCTAAAATTAAGTAAATTTCTAAAATAATCTGAAGAAGTCATAAATAAGAATTTTAAAAGCTTAGTTTTAGAGGGTTTTACCCAGTTTTAGAGATTTTAGCCATTTTGAAAGTTTTGGCTATTTCGGAGGTTTCTGATTTTGGGCAATACTTAAACTTCAAAGCTGAATCATTTCAAACTTTGAAGAAATTTAGGTTAAAACACTACTGTCACTATTGTATAATTGTTTTGAATAGGTTAGTTTTTTGATTTAAAGAACATAGCAATAATTATTGCTGATTGAGAATAGCAAGATTTATAAAAAGCAATTTTTTTTATATAAATACCTAAAAATCTAATTAGTTTAGAACATTAGAACAATTATATGAGTATATATGTAAATTGGAATATTTGCATAAAAATTTTTTATAAAACAACTTGAGATTAAAAGTTAAAATTTTATTATTTAATTATTAAATATTAAAAATATATATCCAAATTTTAAAAATGCTTTATAAAGTATTCTTTAAACCAAATTTAATTGATTCTTAATAAATAATTATATATATAATTTGGTATATATAATGCTTGGCACAATCAAACAAGAATTTGACAGTCAAATATTTGTTAATACTTATGTTTAAATTGGATGTCAAACGATTGCAGATTAACCAAAGCTAAATATATACTATTGGTTAATTTGCAATCATTTGATGTACGAATTAATCACAAGTATTAACAAGTATTTGACTATCAAATTTTTGTTTGATTGTGCCAAGCACTAGGTATATAAGTTTGTTTGCCAACAAGTTAATAACTAGAAGAGTATATTTTTTGACTATTATATTATATAAATTAAATATTATACAACTTTTAAAACCTTTTCAAATTAAAAATTTAAAATCTGACTGATATCTTAGAGGCTTTGTTATAAAGAACAAAGTTATCAGATTATTCTTAATATTTTAGCTGCATAAAGAGTTAAAGATAACCATATTAATCACGTGATTTACTATATAGTTTAATAAATTCTAATAGCTCATTTTGCAAAGCTTAAATTAGGATTGTAATAATCAACTTATTGTAATCAGTAAGGGTAGTGTTATTTATCACCTGATTTTTATTTATCAGAGGTATACCCCTCTCCCCTTCTTATTATATATTTGATCAGGTCTTTATATATAATTTTAACTTTTTTTACCCCCTCCCTCTAAAAAATCACCTGATTTTTGTTACTTCTCTAATCTATTTGGTTTAAAAAATATCAAATATCATAACTTCAATATCCATTTATTAATAAATGAAACATATTCTCATATGGTTTTTATTTAACTAAACACATCATGATTTGAAAAATTGGGTATTTATGTGTTCGCGTTTTCAAGCACATGTGCATTTGTAATTATTTCAGTTGCTCCTTCAGACTACTGAACTCTGCGTAAAATTTCATCTAGCTCTGGATAATTTTTTGGATTAATAACACAATATTCATTACAAAGCTTGTTATAATCTGAAGGCGTGCCAAGAATAGATTCATTTCGAAGGCCTTTATAAGCAATAAGCCAACCTATAGCAAGCTTATTTGAAATATTTGAAAATGGCAGAGTTCTGCTCGTAAGTTCCCATAGTATTAATCCTAGACTGTAAATATCAGATTTGATATTGGGATAAAATAATTCCTCATAAATATAACACCAAGAATCAGTGTATTCTGGCATTTCTACTCCTTGACATATAGAGAACACATTTCTATCAAATTTCCACTCTGTCCCAAAATCTGAGATCAAAAAAATACCATCTTGAACTAGAACATTTTTCGAATACTATAAATTAATAAATAGTATTGTTATGATTTAGTTCAAAATAACCAAAAATAACAGATTCATAATTAATATTCACCAAGTTTCTGTGAATAATTCTTTTAGAATACAAATATTGTAGTCCAGAAATAATTTGCCTTGCTATCTGAATAACTTCTGTCCAGTTAATTACAAAAACATCCTCATATACTATTTTTTGTTGTAAGTAATCTCGTAGGTTCCCACTATTTGCAAATTGTGATACTATCATGAAACTACCCATAATTGAATCTAAAATTATTGTGATATTAATATAGGCAGACATTTTGATTAATTATCCATAAATTAAGTGAAATACATCTATATCAGTAGTAATCCCTAAGAATTTATTAATATTTAAATGACTATTATCTTCATTAGCTTTAATTAGCTGTTTTAGCTCTATTTAATATTATATAGATTTAGCTTCAAATAATAAGAGATATAATCAAACTTATATATAATGATATAAGCATAACTCTAATTCATAATTGATAAAATCTTATCGTAAAAGCGACAAAATTTTAAGTTTATTACCAGTAGTCTTATTACCTTGTTACAAACAAAATCTATTAAAAATCTAATAATAAGAATCTCAAAATTTCGACAAAGTTAGGCAACACTAGGTGCTTAATGTAAACTGGTAGGTTTTTTTTTTTATAGGTATTTTAACCTGTCAGAATCTTATTTTTAGATTTTAATCTAAAACTATTACAAATAGGTATGACTATATGAATGTTGTCAAGAAGGAAATCTCTTGTCAGACTTTCAATTATATTTTATGTACAGTTGGCTATCTATAGAAAACCCACCCTTATGATAGATTTCCATAGATACATAAAATATAATTAGAAGTCCGGTGACAGGTTTTCCTTTGATAACACTTATATACACTAGTAATGGATAACGACATTACCTCGTTAACATGCTTTTTGATCTTGGTCAGTTTTTTAAATACAGTCAGACCTCCCTAAATGCAAGTCATCGGGACCAACTCTAGAGCATACATTTAGGGAGGGTTGCAATTAGAAAACACTAATAAAATCATAATGTTACTATTATTATGTGATAAATATGGCTTTAGTAGCCTAGAAATGATGAATTTGATTAGCTGATAATCACATAGTTGCATTTATGGAGGGAGTTTTTATAAGTGGGTCAGGCAATTAGCGTGCAATTACAAAATAAAGAATATGTATTTATCTATAAATCCATTATGGAGCTAGTCTTTTATCATGCATTTAGAGAGGTGTTGCATTCAGGAGGGTTGTATTTAGGGAGGTCTAACTGTATAACATTTCTTTCATCGTAGTAAGTGGCCAAATAAACAATTTCATTCCAACCTTTAATTATGCATTTTCAACAAGAAAATTTGTAAACTTTGCAATCATAAATTTACTTTAACCTAATTTTTAATAAATTATACCTCTGCTAATTTCTTTAATATGTCTAAATTTCGAGTAATTGTAATGTTTTATATCATGCTTTTTGAGAGCCTTGACCCATTCTGAATGCCTCTAATATTAATGTTTGCACAAAATTAGTAATTAATAAATAGTTCTATTAAATCAATTCTTTCAGTTTAACAGGTACAATAAACTACTCTAAATGCAACTCTTATATCAAATTAGTATGGGCTATACCTATTCTAAATCAACTAATTATTAATCAATTAAATCAATTTATTAATGGTATAGTCTATACATATTCAATTCAAATTTTCTTTAATGTAGAGCAAAGTCAAGAATACTGTCTGGTCCTATTATATCAGGTGGGTAAAAAGTCCCTAAGCAGGACCTTTTTTTTTAATTACAAAATGATATATTTTGGTTAATATTTTAATAGCTACTCATTATACTGGTATATTTAAAACATGTATATTTCAAATATATATAATTATAAAAATTTTTTATTATTAGTAGAGATAGTAAAAAAGGTCCAGTTTAGAGATTTTTCACTACCCAGTATGAAGCAATATTAATTTTACTCTCTTGAGATGCAGTTTGCTTTCTAAGAGTTAGAATTCATTCTTTTTTATTTTAAATTTAAGATATAGCAAATTACACTTAGAAGAAGTCAATTGTGGTCTTATTACTAATGTTGCTTTGTAGATTACCTTTCCTAGAATTTTGTCTGATTTCTTCAAAAATATCTGACTTCATATAATTTGCAATACATGAATAAGTATAGATATATGAAAGATAAAAAGCTTAATATTATACAGTAGTTATTTACATTATACAACTTAGACTTATCTGAGCTATCCTTTGTATAATACTCTTCAAAATGTTTAGTATTTATAAACGTTTCAAAGTTTTTCGAGTACTTTTTAGCATATACAAATAGATTGAAAAAAGTGTAATTAATTAAAATGATTAAATATTGTGTTTTATCCATTTTTTGGAACGACGAGAGCGAAAATGTTCAGCACTTCTAGTGGGATAAATCATGTACCTAATGCATTTTTAATGCATTATTACACCACAAAGTTTTAGATTTCTTGTGTTACTGAGCTAAAAATTTTTGCTAAGAAAATTTCACTGTTAAATTAGGGTCATGCTTCAATATTAGATTGGGTCAGAAGGATTATACTATACTAATGCTAAAAATTGACAAGCGAAATCTTTTGTTAGTACACTGAAAGAAGTTTCATATACAAATTTTGAGCTACAAATGATTTTTTGTATGTTTTTAGTTTTTTTGCACCTTTTTTTTAAATGCTTTCATTTATATTCAGCCCATGAAAATCTGATCGGTGGCGTATTGGTTTGTGATTACATGTCGAATACATCACCATCAGGTTTTCAAGGTAATAAACTGAAGTCTCATTCCCCATATATGGATATGCGGTGTAATGGTAATGTTTACATACGTAACAGGAGGGAACATACCTAAAAATAGAACAGGTTATACAATTTATCAAAGTCGTAATTTATACAGTTTAAAGTACTTTTTTGAAAGTCTCAGGTAGCCCATCTTGCCTATAAAGAGTGCAT